CCCCGACACCCTCTCAGGCCCCTCCCTCCCCTTTATGCTCATGCTTACCCCTGGTTCTCCGTCCGTTCTGTCTCCCTTTTTCGCTTTCTTGCTCGTTTTGCGCTGCTTCTGTTGTCCCCCTCCTCCAGCCTGCTCCGGCGTCTCCAACTCGTTCTCTGCCACCTGCTCTCCTCCGCTCTCTCCGCTCTGCTCCATTTCTCCTCCGCTGCCCTCCTCCTCTCCGGTCTCCTCCTCGCTTTCTCCAGTCACCTCCTCCTCTCCTTCTGCCGCGTCCTTGTACACCTCCTCCTCCGCCTCATTCCTGCTCTCCTTTTCATTTTCACACTCGCAGTCACTTTCTCTTTTTTCACAGTTTTTACATTTTGCCAGGTTCGCGCTGCACTCACGTGCAAAGTGTCCCTGCACCCCACATTTGTGGTACATGAACTCTGGGCACTCTCGCAGGATGTGTCCCGGCTGGATACACATCCTGCACACTTTTTGTTGTCTATCATGAATGACTCTGAAGAATTCGCTCCCCATCACTGTATTGAATTTTGTGGAGTAAGGGAGCGACTGTACCTGGTCGTTGAACCGGACCCGGACAAACCTTGTTCCGTCGGCTATTGTTGACCCTGGCCACATTCTCCTTTTTAATTGGAGATGTGGGGTTCACTCCCCAGCCCGTCAGCTTCCACACGATTTCTTCATCCGTGATGTAGGCCGGCAGGTTCAGAAAGGACACCACCAGCTCGTCATTATTTAGTTCTCTGGCTACAACTCTTGTCTCTCCAATCTTGAAGCCGTCCAAGAGCCTTTCTTTTCCCTTGATGTTGCTCACTGTCACTTCCAGTTTTTCCGGCCCCACGGTTCTGCACGCCAGCAGGCCCCCGCAGATCATTTTTATGTTGTTCATTACCTGCTGTAAAGGTACTTTTCCCCCACCATTTCAATGTTTAGTGTCAGTTTTTTTTCGTAGGCCACTTTTGCCTCTCTTTTCTCAGCTCCCTCTGCACCTCTCACACTCTGCACACCAATCAGTCCTTGATTGTCCGCAGCTGGGGCAATCAGCTCACTGCTCCTCTCTCTTCCTCTCTCTCCGTTGCCCATACCATTCCCAGTTTCGTTTGCCATGTTTATCAGTCCTTTTTGTCCGTCGTCCTTTTCGTTGTCGTTTAATCCGTTCCGTTGTTTCAATGCCGTGTTTGTCTGTCCTTTTTCTTGTCCATTATCTATTTCTTTTTCCTTTTTCTCCGGTCCGTTGTCCTGTCATCTTTGTGATCCGTCCGTGTGTGTTTGCTAGCGGCCCGCTAGCAAACATTTAAGAGATCAAAAGATCTTCCCAAAAAAAGGGGTAAACAGGTAAGAAAAAAAGAAAAGCAATCCCCCTCACAGTCCGTGACTGCTGGGGGACGTTCACTAAACATCTGAGGACTTTAAACAAAACAATGCATATATAACAAAAACGAAAAATAAGGACTCCTGCTCTCTCTGGCACGTCTGCTCTCTCCGGGCTCCACTCTGTCTCTGCCGTAAACGGGGCGTGTTCAGGGTGGTATGGCCGTAAGCCATTGTTGTGTGCAGAAAGGGGCCTTTTAAAGATCTCATGCCCTCGGCCATAATGTGGGGGAGCAAATGCTCCCCCACATTATTGATTCTGGCTGAATTTTTGGACATGTGAATATGTCTCTATATAATGAAAAAAAAGCATATGATGAAAAAAATGAAAAAGCTTACAGCACCTGGTATTCCCAGGCGGTCTCCCATCCAAGTACTAACCAGGCCTGACCCTGCTTAGCTTCCGAGATCGGGCGTGTTCAGGGTGGTATGGTCGTAAGCCATTATTGTGTGCAGAAAGGGGCCTTTTAAAGATCTCATGCCCTCGGCCATTATTGATTCTGGCTGAATTTTTTTGACATTTGAATATGTCTCTATATGATGGAAAAAAATCAAAAAGCTTACAGCACCTGGTATTCCCAGGCGGTCTCCCATCCAAGTACTAACCAGGCCCGATCCTGCTTAGCTTCTGAGATCAGATGAGATCGGGTGTGTTTTTTTTTTTTTTATCTTTTATTATCAAAAGTATAAAAACATTTATATTATTTACACATCATTTACAAGAAATACTATCCCAAGACATACACCATATAAATCAAACCTCCCCTCAGAAACAAGCGATTGCCAAACAAAATCAAAACTTCCCCTGATTCCAAAAAACTTAAAAACTCTTGAGTTCCTCCCTCAAAGGAAACAACCCCCGAAAACAACCCACAAAGCTCTCAAAATCCCCTGCAAACCAAAAGCCCTCAAATCAAACCACCCATTTTTCCCCATGACCAAAGAAAAGCCTTAACAAAAAACAAAATAAATTATACATCCCACACAATTCCCTCTTCATTTACCCCACACACAATCGCCCCTTCCACAAACATTCTCACAAACTCACTCTCATTCGCAACGTGCAACAATTTTAGGTGTGCTCTCCATTCATTCGAAAACATTCTCCACACATTCATTCTCTTGTTTTCATACAATGCAAAATTCCTCCTGTTAAAAACCGCTTTGCGTGCAAAGGCTAAAATCATATTCATAACATTGTGGTTTTTTTGTTTCGTTCCCACCCCCAACAGCACCGACAACTCCCACCCTCTTTCATTCCAACACTCATTCTCGCTACATTTCCCAACATTTCCCTTATTTTTCCCCAAAACACGCCCAATTCCCCACATGTAACACATAAGTGCATCAAATCCTCATCCATACTTTCACATACACAACACTTTCTTTCATACCTCTCCTTGTGGATTTGATGCAGGACGATGCAGGTGAAGATCCTCCTGTGCCTCAGTTTGAAATCTAAGTCAAATGTTGCATGCGGTGTGTGCGGTATGTTAATGTTTTTCCATATCATGTTGCTTGTTATGTCTGGGTATGTGTCTGTCCATTTAACTTCAGATGTGGGTTTGCGCATCTATACCAAATTTTTGTGGTGACATCAGTAATGTTGTGTTTCTTCTCCCCTAGGCACAGGGAGATCCCCACCGCATCGTCCTGCATCGCTCCCTCCTTCTCCTTGATTAGTTTTTCCCATTCGCTCGACAAAGACAATTTTACATTTTCAAACACTCTCTCAATCACATCCTTTCTGCACACATACCCCTTATTTTTTAATCCCCCCAACACCATTTGTACATCAAACTCCCCACCACCGTTCACTAAATCCCCTATTCTAATTTATCCCGCTTTCTCCATTGCCTCGCACTTGATTGCCCTCTCCCCATTTTTAAAATACGGGCTTGAGAGGAAGCAATGACCCTCTCGTTCCGCACTCCGGTACAGTCCAGGCTGAAACCTGATACCACGCATTGAGTACTTCCTGGAAAAACCGTGGCAAGTGTTTAAATGCGTCCGGGTTATTGATCTGGTGCAGGTTGTCCTCGTTGCGGAGTCCAAAACTGCACAGATGTTGTTTGAAGTGGTTTTTCCAACCTACGTTCCTTAAATTTGCCTATCAATTTGGCTCTTAGTGCTACTTTTTTGTCAGTAAATCAATCAAAGCTAACCCTCCCTGATCTTTAGCCCCTATTATTGTTTTGTGAGCTATACTCGCTGCTTTGTTTCCCCAAATAAAGTCCTAATGATCTTTGAGATCTCCGCAAAGGCCCAGTCCGGAAGCGCACAAGTACTCAGCGCATGATTCACTTTGGACAACACGACAGCATTTGTTACGGCTACCCTTCCTTGCTCATTGTGTGGTATGACAAACACTGACACAAATTCATAAGGGCCCCAACGGTTGAAAACTAAACTCAAGGACAAAAAGGGTTTTCCTTTTGTGCACACTTCATTATTTTAGTTTGTTATTTTTCACATCTGTCATACCTGTTTATCTATTTATGTATGAACCATATTTTGAGTATTTAATAAAAAGATTCAAACTTTCATTCTAGTGTGGAAATTCTCTTTATTGGTATTCAAATTCTCTGGCTCTTAACAATCTAGTTTCTTTTGATATTGGTCTACATTCACATTGATGACAACATATAAGATCAAATTCTGTAACTGTTTAGACCATTACTAAATTGTAAGAAGGGCTACAGAAGCAATACAAACAGATATAAATCAAAAATAGCAACAATTGTAGGGGTCGAAGCATTGAAACATTGAAGTAGCAGCAGCAACCATGTGTCTGACTTTGTCAATTTATTGATTGTTTGTGTCTCTCTGGCCTCATATGCTGTTTGTCAACTTTGCTGTTGCAAGAATTGGATTGTTGTGTTAAGTCCCATGACTTTCTGTTTATAAATGTGTTTTACTTGATGTTTTATAAACCACCTAATATTTCATTAAATATAAATATTACAAGCACTAGTTGCAGCATTATAATAGTCATTCACATTTTGTTTATGAATGGTTTCTAAACCATGTGTAAAGCAATTGTTAGTTTTATAAACATCAATTCAAACTTTATAATAACCATCCAAATAATGTTAATAGATGCTTTACACATTATTTATTAACCATTTACAGAGTATTATAAACATCAGTTCCAATTTTATAATAACCATCCAGATAATGATTGTAGATGGTTTATAAACCAATTATTAATCATTGATAAAATATAAATTATCTATCTAAAAAATATTTATAGATGCTTACAAAGTATTAACAAGGATTATAATCTTCAGGCTTTGGCACACCTCTCCGAAGTGTGCCAAAGCCAAGGAAGAGTACCGTAACCCCCTCTATTTCAGCCCTGCTCAGAACAGGCTGTTTCTTTGTCTGTACCTTTAAATGAGCTGTGTTTGACCACGTCCCCCTCTGGAAGGGCTTGGGTGTCTTGGTCTTTCTCGCTCCATGTCCTATTTTTTACAGTGAGAAGGCAGACTCAGAGGGCAGAACAAACACATAGCTGTGGGAGTGTCACCCACCTGGTGTAGGGGTTACTGCCCTTTGTGATGTCATGAAGGGAAAATCTCCAAACGGCCTGTTTGAGCACACATTTTCTGAAAAGTGGAGCAGGCTAAAGACTGAGAGGATGGACTTTTCACATCATTGGGGGGTTTGTAGACAGACTCGAGACACATATTAGTGTCATATGTGACCTGTACACGACTGGAAGTAGAAAATGTTTTTTATGTTATGAAGAATCTTTTCAGTTTGAATATTTTGGAAAATAAGGAACTCACAGAGGATCGTAGGTTAGGTCATTAACTTAAGCACAGAAACAGGAAGTGGTTAGGGATCACAAACTGATGTCAAACAGCTCAAAGGAACAGTAACAAAGGTCAATGTGTGATGTCATAAGGTGGATATTACTTTGGACTCATCTGTTGAGCTGATCCTTCAACATTTATGTAACTTTATCCTGCTCAGATTCAATTGTTCAGCATTGAGAATGTTTCTCCTGCAGGGAACAGAGCGACACTGACGAACTAGACCTAAACCAGAAGCCAAACCCAAACCCAGGATAAAGAGGTTCAGTGAAGGTGGTGTTGAAGGTGTGGAGGTGGATCAATGTGTCAGAGGAGACTCTGTAGAAGGACAGAGAGCCAGCAGGACAGTCCACATACACTGCTACTCTGTTACAGACAGAGGAGGATGAGGGGGAGATGGAGGTCACTGTGTCATTGTGATAGACAGTGTAAGCACCGTCAGAGATACTCAGTCTCCAGGACTGATGGTTCCTTCCAAACACACAGTCAACACTTCCACCCCTCCTCCTGATTCCTCTGTAACTCACCGTTATATCAACATGACCTCTCCACTCCACCTCCCAGTAACAGCGACTAGTCAGACCATCTCTACACAGCAGCTGAGGCCACTCATCAAACCTGTCTGGATGATCAGGGTAAGACTGATTCTTCTCCACAAATGTAAACTTCCTTTTATTGTCAGACAGTTGGATCCTTCTGTTTACGGTGTTTGTGTCGACCATGAGATCACAGGAATCTGAAGGAGAGAACAAGACATGATTTAAATAAGCTATGTCACATTTGGAAGATGGCTACATTTGTGCAGTTTTGTTTTCATTAATGAAAGTAAAACACTTACACTTCTTCAGACCTGGCCTCAACCATTTGACTCCATTAGGCTCCACCCTGAAAGTAGTAAATGGTCAAAGATTTGGGGAAAAGCTATAAAAGTACAGAGAGCGTGAGACTCAAGTTGATTTAACACATGGAAACTTGCCATTAGGCCTAGAGCAAGAAGGCACATCAATGCTAACTACAAGCATCCAGGCAAATATATAAAGAAATGCAGTGAACAAGCTGGTATTCATGCCGGGCTAAAGGCTTATCCTGAGAGCCTTTTTGTGATGATTCTGTTTGGTTTTGGTGTAGGGTTTTTTCTGTATTTGTTCTCTCTCTCCTTCTCCCCCTCCCCTTTCTGTTTTCTTTCTCTTGCAGGTGAGTGGCAGGGGGTGTGGCTGGCTTCGCCACTCAGCAGCAGACAAGGCACACCTGGCTCCACTCAGTTAATCATATTCTCCATAAAAGCCTGGTCTTCACTCCACTTCTCTGCCAGATAATTCCGTTCGGTAGTGTCTCTCAGTTAATACTGAGCAGCTTATTTTTCACAGTATATCTTTGTGCTTTGGATGTGTTTTTGTTCTTACCTTTTTTTCCCCTTGTGCTTAGGTACTCCGGTGTGCCTCTCTTTTTCGCCTGAGTTTCCTACTTCACTTTGTGGATTATTTTTCTGGCCAGCCAGCTGCCTGCCTGCACTGCCTGTTCTTTTTATTAAACAGGTTTTTTTGTTACATTGTTTATTCTGTGTTCGGTCTCTGCTTTGGGGTTTTGATTTGAACTGGAACCTTAACAGTTTTAAACTAGTTCATTTGCTAATCTGTGTTTCAACTGTGCCATCAACATAAAATTTACGATTCCTATCCAGCATGAAAATAAGGAAAGTCTGGTGTTAATTTTCACATAAAGGTGGGTCCATAATAAGATCATCATTAACCAGTTAACCCAGGGTACCTCTTTGGTCTGTGGGAGGAGAACCCATGCAGGCATCAGGAGTAAATGGGTGGTCCAAACAGAAAGGCTTCATCTTGCCAGGAGATTAACCGACAAGACCTCAACGTTGTGATGCTCAGTTCAGAGATCAGAGTTATTCATACCATTTATTGCTGGTGCTGTCCACCATCTACAAAAATAAAATTAAGTATATCTTGGACGGCTGCATCACTGTCCCGAATTCGACCATCAACAACGTTTCAACTTGGTGTTTCAGGCTCCTCTGCAGCAGGCTGACAGCAGGACCAATACAATGTTTCCAGTTCCTACTCCTCTATCAGACTGGTTGTCTTGGGCCACAGATGGCCTCTTCTTACCTCAGTGTGTCTAGACCCCATTGTGGATCCTTCAGTCCAGCAGAAAGCAGCTTGACTGTTGAGTCTCCCAGATGGTTGTAGCTCAGGTCCAGCTCTCTCAGGTGGGAGGGGTTGGAGCTCAGAGCTGAGGCCAGGGAAGAACAGCCTTCCTCTGTGATCATACAGCCTGAGAGCCTGACACAAAGCAAAAAAAGACACATTTAGATCACCTGTGAGGTCTGGGTAATACCAACGACAATGGAAAGATAATATTCAGTTTGAAAATCTGAAAATTCTGTTTAAGAATGTCCCTTTTTAAAGTCATTTTTAAACTAATTAGAGTTTAGATTGTAGGGGTATATTGCAAGCCATTTAAAGAGATCATAATATGCCCTTTTTGGGGTTCATATATTTAATTTATGTGCCTATTAAAGTATGTTCACAATCGCTAAAGTGAAAAGAAAAAGTGTCTGTTTTCATGTACTGCCGCTCCATGCACCGTCTCAACTCTGGCTCTGTCGGCAACACTCTGTAGTGCCCACGTTCCAGGTCCCGTCGTGTGCCAAGTCTGATCTGATTGGTCGGCCGGTCGACTCTGTCGTAATTGGTCAGTTGCTCAGCACGGTTCTCGGAAATGTCACGCCCCTTTTACCATATTGGGAATGCAGTTACTTTGGCTCCGAGGGGAGCATTGACATGTTTTGTGTTCCCAAACAATATGTTTATAATATAGTAGAGTGTAACATCGACCCAAGAAGAATTTTGAGAAGAATGATAATGGCGAGGTTACACCATCCATTCTCTGGGATGGCGCTAAAGCAGTGATAAGGGGAAGAATGATTGAAATATCGAGTAGAGAAAAAAGAAATAGACTAAAGACACAACTAGTCCTAGAAAGTAAAATAAAAACACTGGAACAAAAGCACAAAAATAATAGCACCAATAAAAGACTCCTAAAGGAACAGAGAAAAAAGCGATACGAGCTAGAGGAGATTCTGACAAATAAAGCTGAGGGGGCGCTTAGATTTACAAACCAAAAGTATTACAAACAAGGTAATAGAGCCAGTCACCTCTTAGCTTTTCAACTAAGAAAAGAAGAAGCCTCTCAGGTGGTTTCTGAAGTCTTCCATCCAACTTCAGGACAGTTAGCTTCAAAAGCCAGAGAAATAGCTGAAGCATTTGCTTCTTTTTAGGAAGCACTATATGACTCCCCTGAAACTACAGACAAGGAAGATAAGAATTTTTTTCTCTAAACTGAATTTAAACACCCTCTCCCTCACCCTCTCTAGTATGACAGTATCTATACAAGAGCATGAAATAAAAGAAGTTATTAAGAAACTGAAAAATAATAAATCACCGGGGACTGATGGGATACCGAGGGAAGTTTATAAACATTATAGAGAAGAACTCTCCCCGAATCTGGCAGAGGTTTTTAACTATGCTTTGTCTGAAGGTGACCCCCCTAGATCTTGGGTAGATGCCATAATCTCCATCATTCATAAGGAAGGGAAAGACCCGTCTAACTCTGAAGGATCTAGGTTCCAACCCTCACCTTTGGTCATGAGCTATGGGTAATGACCGAAAGAATGAGATCGCAGATACAAGAGGCCGAAATTAGCTTTCTCCGGAAGGTGGCTGGGCTCAGCCTTAGAGATAGGGTGAAGAGCTTAGACATTCGGGGGGGAGCTCGGAGTAGAGCTGCTGCTCCTCCGCATCAAAAGGATCCAGTTGAGGTGGTCTGGGCATCTGTTAAGGACGCCCCCTGGACGCCTCCCTTTCAAGGTTTTCTAGGCACGACCAACTGGGAGGAGACCCCGGGCAGACCCAGAATGCGCTGGAGGGATTATATATCCCGTCTAGCCTGGGAACACCTCGATTTCTCCAGTTAAGACACTATCTAAAGACGCATATAGACTGGGAGCAGGTATGTATAAGTTACCATCAAGTTTAGAAAGAATCTTTATGTTGACAATGGAAGGAGTGTTGAAAAACAATCAGATTTCCCATCTCTACAGATGGTTTCAGGATAAGGACACAGGAGACACTATACAAACGAAACAGAAATCGGAATTAGAAATGAATACTATTATTACTGATGAAATGTGGGAAAAGACATGCCTTTATGGGATAACAAGCAGTCTTACCTGGAGGGAGTTTAAATGGAAAACCAGAATGAATATTTAAAACCCCTCCCAAATTGAATAAATACTAGAGAGATATTCAAGCAGAGATCAAGAACATTCTGGGGCTTGACTTGTCATTAGAACCAACACTCCAGAAGACATAACTCAAAAAACAGAAATCTACTCGAAGTGTTGCTGTTGATCGCAAAAAAATGTATTACAGTGTTGTGGAGAAATGTAAAGCCACCTACTGTACAACAATGGAGGGAAAGGTTAAAAAGTCCTCATATGATGGACAGCATAACAGCCCGACTCCAACTAAAGACAAATGTTTTCAAAGATAAATGGGAAGCAGTACCAATTTGCCAAGATAGATTAAGATCACAAATGCATAACTCCATTAGATGTGCACTGGGAATGTACTTTGTACATGTAATAGGTGCTGGACTGAGGACGTAAAGAATATGAGGATACATATGCTTAAACATATGGGATAAGTATTAAGTATTGGCCGAATTGAAGTTTGTGAGATACCTGTGTGATATGTGATACATTTATGGACTGACCAGATAAAAGATTATCAGTGTCTTATCTTAGGTGTTTTTCCACCTGCTGAATGACCCATATATGTATGTATTTTGATATGATTTAAATGAACAAAGCAACTATGGAATAAAGCTCAAGTTAAAAAACAGAAAAAGCATTATATACCCCTTTAAAACAAACATCTTACCTTAAAGTTTCTAGAGTACAATGTGGACTTTTGAGTCCAGCAGACAGAAACTTCACTCCTGAATCCTGCAGGTTGTTATTTCTCAGGTCCAGCTCTCTCAGACTCGAGGACTGGGAACTGAGGACTGAGGACAGAGCTTCACAGCTTCTCCCTGAGAGGTCACAATCATTCAGTCTAGATACAAAGAAAAAACAAAACACACAGTTCATTCAGAGCTAGGAATATAGGACATTATCAATAGTCCAATTGCACAATGAGTGTTTTCTTTGCAACCAAATAATGAGGGGAGACCGAGAGTAAGCACCATTAGGTCTGTTGAATTGGTACTATGTTGGATAACTTTGGGCTGACACTTATAAATTAGAAAAGACTAGGTGATAGAAGTAAAAGCTTGTCAGACAAGACATGGGAATGTGTAGGACTAATGTGGTGCTGAAAGTCAATGCATATGTTTTAATTGTACGTTCAAGCTTGTATCTATAGATATATCTGGTAACCTTGAGACAGTGATTGGGTATAAAGCAGCCAAAACAATTTCTTCAAGGTTGTAAGAAGAGGAATTGAGATTTAAAGTTGGGTGAACTTTTTCATTGTTAGCTAAGAGGAGAGTTTGAGGTCAAATTGATACCCCTGCACAAAGGAAACAGTCATCTTTAAGGGATTTGTTGTGTTCCCTTCTAGACACCTCCCTGTGGAGGTATTACAGCTATGTTAACCCAACGTAATTTCACATCCAGGAACATTCAAAATCCTTCTGAAATAGTTTGAGGACTTGAAGGCCAAAAAGTGGGAGGTATAGGACAACTTATCTGCTGCAACTGTGACCAAGATATCAATGAAATAAAATCCTTACCTGATGAAGGTTGGTGAAACTAGAAACAGGTCTTACCTCAGTGTTTCCAGTGTACAGTTTGGACTCTCCAATGCAACAGATAGCAGATTAACACCTGAATCCTGCAGGTCGTTGTTACTCAGGTCCAGCTCTTTCAGACTAGAAGACTTGGAGCTAAGGATTGAGGACAGAGCTTTGGAGCTTCTTTCTGAGAGGTTACAGCCCCTTAGTCTGGAAAGATTAAATGAGGTTAAATAGTAGGTATACCTTTTGTTCTGCTCAAAATATGGTAGAATTTTCCAAATATTTTAAGTAAATGCCAATATTTTACATCTTACAGAGCTTTATTGGAGGCTTTGACCACTGGCAGCAGCCTCAGAAGAGCATCCTCTGAAGCAGAATATTTCCTCAGATCAAATTTATCCAGATATTTTTCTAATGACAGTAAGATGAAGACCAGAGCTGACCACTGAGCAGGAGACAGTTTCTCTTTGGAGAGTCTTCCTGAACCGAGGAACTGTTGGATCTGCTCCACCAGGGAATGGTCCTTAAGCTCATTCAGACAGTGGAACAGATTGATGCTTCTTTCTGGATGAAGGGTCTCTTCAATTTTCTCCTTAATGTACTGGACAATATCCTGATTGTTTTGCCGGTTTGTGTGTGTCAATGTCAGCCGACCTTCTAGGAGAACCTGATTGATCGGCAGTGAAAGTCCCAGGAGGAAGCGCAGGAACAAGTCCAGGTGTCCATTTGGACTCTGGCAGGCTTTATCCACAGCATTCTGGTAGAACTGAGTCACTGAGGATTCATGGGAGGTTGATGGTTCTTCTGACAGCAGATTGACTCCAGAGTTGATGAAGGTCAGATGAACATGAAGAGCAGCCAGAAACTCCTGAACACTCAGATGGATGAAGCAGAACACCTTGTCCTGGTACAGTCCTCTCTCCTCTTTGAAGATCTGTGTGAACACTCCTGAGTACACTGAGGCTGCTATGATATTGATGCCACACTCTGTCAGGTCTGAGTCATAAAAGATCAGGTTTCCTTTCTGCAGCTGCTCAAAAGCTAGTTTTCCCAGAGACTCAATCATCTCACTCCATCCCATTTCTCGATCATTCTCATCTTCTTCATCATATTCAGTGTTTCTCTGTTTGGATTGGACCACCAGGAAGTAGATGTACATCTCAGTCAGGGTCTTGGGCAGCTCTCCTTTCTTGGTGGTCTTCAGCACATCCTCCAGAACTGTAGCAGTGATCCAGCAGAAGACTGGGATGTGGCACATGATGTGGAGGCTTCTGGATGTCTTGATGTGGGAGATGATTCTGCTGGCCTGCTCCTTATTTTTGAATCTCTTCCTGAAGTACTCGTCCTTCTGTGGGTCAGTGAACCCTCTTACCTCTGTCACCATGTCAACAAATCCTGAAGGGATCTGATTGGCTGCTGCAGGTCGTGTGGTTATCCAGAGGCGAGCAGAGGGAAGCAGTTTCCCCCTGATGAGGTTAGTCAGCAGCACATCCACTGAGGTGGACTCTGTGACATTAGTCAGGATCTCGTTGTTTTTAAAGTCCAGAGGAAGTCGACACTCATCCAGACCGTCAAAGATGAACACAACCTGGAACTCTTCAAACCTGCAGATTCCTGTTTCTTTGGTTTCAGGAAAGAAGTGATGAACAAGTTCTACCAAGCTGAACTTTTTCTCTTTCAGCACATTCAGCTCTCTGAAAGTGAATGGAAATGTGAACTGTATGTCCTGGTTGGCTTTGTCTTCAGCCCAGTCCAGAGTGAACTTCTGTGTTAAGACTGTTTTCCCGATGCCAGCAACTCCCTTTGTCATCACTCTTCTGATTGGTTCATCTCTTCCAGGTGAGGCTTTAAAGATGTCTTCTTGTCTGATGCTTGTTTCTGGTCTGTGTGGTTTCCTGGATGCTGTTTCAATCTGTCTGACCTCGTGTTCATCATTGACTTCTCCAGTCCCTCCCTCTGTGATGTAAAGCTCTGTGTAGATCTGGTTCAGAAGGGTTGGATTTCCTGCTTTGGTGATCCCCTCAAACACACACTGGGACTTCTCCTTCAGGTTAGATTTGAGTTTACGCTGACACACTGAAGCAGGAGGTCCTGAATAAACAGGTAAGACAACAAAAATAAACAGTACTTTCAACCAATGATCCTTATATCAATATAATTGTTATTCACTGATATTGATGATGGCCCATTTAGTTTGTGTTAAATCTTCATATAAATCCTCTTACTGCTCTGCAGACAGTTAGCCAGCTCCTCCTGTTTCATTCCTCTCAGGAAGCCAACTGCCATCTGCAGAAATGCCTCTCTTATGATACTCCTCTGCTTTTCTTCCCCACTGTCCAATACCTCTGCTTCCTCTTTTTGACTCTCGTAGCTTTCTTGGTAATCTGAAATCAGACCCTTGTGCATCTTCTCCAGCTCTTTCTTCGTAAAACAGACCATTTTCTCCCCCAGTAACTGGAATGAAATATTATAGCATTTACTTCATAGCACTAAAATCATGGACGTCAAATCCAGGATGGACATATACTGACAATCCACTGGTCTAAAATGTGACAGGATCCGTAAAGTTTTGTTTTTTACTCATTTATTTAGTATTTTTGTCTGTTCCTGTTTTATTTTGTACTTAGCCTTGTCTCTGTCTTTCAGATCCTGCTCCTCATTAAGATTAAGATTAAGATTTACTTCATTGATCCCTGCAAGGGGAAATTTCAGTTTTTACACTCTGTAAGTCATTAACACACACAGGCTGGAATACACACACATGCAGAAACATCCTATGGACATGCACTAATGGAGAGACTGAGCTACTGCCGCCCCTCATGTTTTAGCAGTGGTGTACATGTAGTACAGACCTTAAATATGGAGTCCAGGTCCGGTATATGCTTCTGGATGGACTGACCAATGGGAATCTCTAAACTCTGCAGGATGACTCTGTGGACAAATCATAAAATAATGACCTTTTATATATATATATATATATATATATATATATATATATATATCTTGACAGAAAGGCAAACCAGAGAATATCTATACATAAGTAAACATCATACCAAACTAAAGCATAACAACGATGAATAATGGAGCAAACCAGAGCAAAAACACCAGAGAACATTGAACCACATGGCTACTAGAGCTAAAGCAGTAAAGACGTTTTAGCCAAGCTGGAATTACAACATGGCAGAGCTTTTAAAACCAGAGAGCATTGGACCAAACCAAAGCTACGACAGGGGAGAATATTTAACAAAGCAGTGCTACAACACCAACAAGACTGGATGAACCTAGAGGCCACACACCACAAAAAAATTAGACCAAACCAAAGCTTCAACATGAATACATGTTTTACCAGAAACAAGCTGCAACACAAAAGCATATTGTAGCTACCTAGGGATAAAAAAAAAAATAATAATATCAGAGAATATTCAATAAAGGAGGAGCAATACATAGAATACTGCTCCAACAGCAAGAAAGATTAATGGACAAACAGCACCTGAGAATACTTGAATAGACCAGTGCTCCACCGACGTCAATAATTTGACAAAACCAGGACAAAATCTCCAGTGATAACTATCCAAACTAGAGCTAACACACCAAAGAATATTGGACCAAACCAGAGCTAACACACCAGAGAATATTGGACCAAACCAGAGCTAAAACACCAGAGAATATTGGACCAAACCAAAGCTAAAACACCTGAGAATATTGGACCAAACCAGAGCTGAAACACCTGAGAATATTGGACCAAACCAGAGCTGAAACACCTGAGAATATTGGACCAAACCAGAGCTGAAACACCTGAGAAAATTGGACCAAACCAGAGCTGAATGACCTGAGAATATTGGACCAAACTACAACCACTCCAGGGAATCTTAAACAAAACCAGAGAATATTAGACCAAACAAAAGCTGCAACACCTACTGATATTCAACAAACCAGTAATACAAAAGCACAACATGGTCGACCAATCAAGAGTTACCACACCAGAGAACACTGAGCCAACCCAGAGCTGAAACACCTGAGGATATTCAACAAACTAGAGTAACTGAGTCATGTCCATCTCTAAATAAAAACCAGTGGCATTGCATGGACACGTGGTTGGATTCCAGTTTTTCCAGTTTCTTCCTTCATAGATAAATTAGCACACTTAGGAGCTTTTTCTAAAAGCACAAAAATGTTTTACAGTTCAAAATCCCTCAATTTACGGCCAACTTCCACCAGATGCGTGCCCGGTCCTTCTCCGCTCCGTTCCGGCAGCGGAGGTGATATGGTTTAATTTTATTTAATGTGTGTGCTTCCACTGGGTCTGCTGCGCTGCATCCCCGCTGCGCCTGAGTTCCGGCAGTCCGGTGCCCTCCGCAGAAGATACGCTGGTTTCTATTTTTTGCTGGATGCCGCTTTTGAGGCTCTGTTCATGCTTGAGGGCATTGAGATGGTCTCGCTCTCTGTTGTACAGTCCAACGAGACAGGCAGAATAGTATTTAAATTCCTGTGCAACAACATCACCAGCAATAAGCTTTGCAAGGAGCTTCATGTCGCCTAGATTCCTGGCACATTCATTAACCCTTTCATTAAGTTTCATTGTCATTGCTTCTCTTAAGGGGGACGTTGCACTCTCATCTTCACAGATAAAGCACAAAGCTTTCGAGGGCTGGGATTTTCTTGGCCTCTTGACATGGATATCTTTGGTATCTTCGGTGTCTTCAGCAGCAGTAGCTGCTCTCTTTTGGGCCCTTTCCAGCTGTGTGTTGTTGAACCTAAGTTTACAGCTTGAATGATATTTTGCTCTGTTTCTTGTCAATGTGCTTTCTATGCCATCACCTTCATCTAGTCGGGTTGGACTTGGAACAGCATTGATCTTGTGAAATAATGAAACATTTCTTGCAATGATATCATAACCAGTACGATTGTGCTCTCTGTTAAATAAACTCGGCTGAATGAGTTTTTCCTTGGTGTCCTGCTGACAAATGAAACATCTGTCCCAGTTAGTTTTCTCAACTGTTTTGATGGCTTCTGCCATGTCTGCAGCAAATTCATAGGCAGAGGCCAAGGGTTTATCCTTATACCACCTTTTACCAAGCACTGTGATGTATGGGATACAACTAAGTTCATGCCTTAACCTTACACTTAGTCCGATCGTTCATCCAATGCCATTTATATCCCGTGCGATCTGTACACCATCCGATTAACTAAAACTCCATTAACCTTGGCTCAGCTCTCCCACGCTGGCACAACCTGTCAATTCAGGTGCGGCTATCAAACAGTTTTGGGGTAAATTAGACAGCATTTGGGATACTAACTTTCAATTAGCTGACATTGAGCCCCACCCTGAGTTTAACAGCAGTGATATATCACCAGTGTGCCCTGGTACTGCAGATATTCACTCTTGTCTAATCGATCTATGATCAACAAATCAACACATCTGTATTTTGATGCGTTAAAAGTTGTTCTTTAGCATAATCTAAAACATATAAAATAAAATGACACCAAATCATCCAGGGGGCGGCCATCTTGAAAATATAAATTTCAAGTGACTGTGGGCGGTTTTTTGTCAAATGACCCTTTGAGATGGCTCATGGCAATTTTCATGCTTGTATCACCAACTAAATGATTTCTTAAGCCTAACTGCTTCACGAAGGTGTTGGCCATCTTCAAAAATGGCCACCATCTTGAAATGTCAAGTAGCTGTGGGTGGCTTATTGTCAAGTGACCCACAGAGACTGCTCATGCCAATTTTCATGCTTGTATCACCAAATAAACCATTATATCACTTAACTGCTCCACTAAGGTGTCGGCCATCTTGAAAAATGGCTGCCATCTTGAAATTTCAAATGTCTCAGACAATTTTCTTGTCAAGTGACCCATGGAGACTACTCTTGCCAATTTTCACGCTTGCATCACACATTGAAAGATTCTAGCACTTATCTGCTCCACTAGAAGACCTGAGGGGCCTATGGGGATTGTATGGGAGGAGCAGCTCAGCGATATACTGGGGTGTTAGGCCATGTAGGGCTCTAAAAGTGAGCACTAGGATTTTACAGTGTATGTACAACTTAATGGAGAGCCAATGCAGAGAGGATATTGTATTGTTTAAAATTGGGGTGCAAAAGTCGTTAAACTGATTTTACTTAGTTGAAGAAGTTGAACTCTAAACGGAGCTGATCAGACTGCAGCGATCCAACGCTGAAGGATAAATTCAAGTCTGTTGGTTTGGAAACATTTGATGCCTGACAGTGAAATACCTGAAGATGACTGTTTACATTAAAGACACACACACAGACCCTCACCCACACATTCATCACCTCCAGATTAGACTACTGCAACAGTCTTCTCTACGGATCACCATCACATTCACTCAGGAAACTCCAATACATCCAGAACTCCGCTGCTCGTCTCCTCACACACCCCCGCACCAGAGACCACATCACCCCCGTTCTTCATGACCTCCACTGGCTCCCCATCCCTCAGCGTATCAACTCCAAGCTCCTCATCCTCACTTACAAAGCCCTTCATATCCTGGCTCCCCCCTACCTGTCTGAGCTCCTCCACCGACACACTCCCACCCGCACTCTCAGGTCTGCCGATGCAAACCTCCTGTCCCCCCCCTGCTGGACAAGGGCTTTCTCCATTGCTGCTCCCACCCTCTGAAACTCACTGCCAAAAAACATCAGAGACTCCCCCACACTCACCTCCTTCAAGAAATCCCTCAAAACTCAGCTCTTCATTACTGCCTACAACGACTAACTCCCCCCCTACATTACTTCTTTGTTGTACTGTCCTCGTCGTTTTTTGTTTTGTTTTATTGTTTTTGTCAAAGCATCTTTGAGTTTTCAGAAAAGCGCTATATAAAACTAATGTATTATTATTATTATGCGTCGTTGTGCAAAAGATGTGACTCAAATCCTAGGGTTGTAGGAGGGATAAAATCGATCAAATCCCCAAAAGTAAACTGAATCCATGAGAAGAAGACCACTTACAGGGATCAGCATTCAGTCGCAGCGTACAGTATGTCTGATGTGCAGAAGAACGATGCTGAAAATGTTTCACTTTTTACAAATAATATGTAAAAACATGAGTATATAGTATTATTAAAGCTCACCTCTCTGCAGCAGAGACATTCTTTGACTGTTCACTTTTTAAGGACATACAGCTGGGCTCAGATCCTGGTTCAGGGGAGGGTCCTTTGTTGATCCTGTCAGAGACAGAGAGGAAATCCACCAGGGGAGAAATTCATGATTGATATCACACTGAAGGCACAAATGGTAAATGGTAAATGGACTTGAGCTTATATAGCGCTTTTCTAGTCTTGCGACTACTCAAAGTGCTTTTACACCGCAAGAGGTGTGTGTGTGTGTGTGTGTGTGTGTGTGTGTGTGTGTGTGTGTGTGTGTGTGTGTGTCTTACACAAAGGGAAAGAGGTCAGATTCAATATTTCAGAAAAGAGCATTCTCATCAACCAATCAACTGTTGCCTGGCGATAGACGCTTCTGGGAACAATGGGCGACTTTTGGCCATTGTGCGGTCGCCAGGAGTGAGTCATGATCAACTGCCAGTCAAGACTTCCTCTTTCATGCGCTGCTATTCTTAGAGTCATATGGCTAACTTAAGATGCTAGTGACCATGTTTCCAGATCAGAAGTGACATTTTTCAGCACAGTTCCCCTAAAGTAAAACAGAAAGTGTTCTTGTGATTCTCTCACATTAAGGGAAATAACATCAGGATGTAGATACAATGTCAAGCTTTGTCAGGTCTGTCCTCAAGAGGAGAAAACTACTTTTAATGTTTGTTTGGTAAATGGAGGTCAGATCCATTGTTTCTGATGCATTCAAAGAAGTCAGGAAATCTAAATGCTGACTGGCTTTCATGACACAGTGTCAAGCAGATTGTTGAAGTAAAAATGTTTCATGTAGAACAGATTGTTGGTAACTGTCCCATGCAGATATCTGTATATAAAGAGAAATAAATCATCATCAGATTAACACTAATGGGAGTCCAGATGTCGGTGGATTCTATTCCTCCTGCCCTTACTGTCCTTACAGACTGTTTTTTCTGCCTAAGCCAAAGACTGCTGAAACGTGCTTGATCAAGACTACTTGGAATACAAATTTACAAAAAGAAACAAGAATACTTCATGTACTGAGCTCCAGACGCCTGAACACATTCTACATTTTCATGTGGAAGATGAACCATAGTGAGAATAAACATACAGGTTTAAAATAAACTTAAGATCGAATTTCGGTTCAAACATTTTTTTAAACATTACCTCTTTGCAGGAGAGTGGTGTTGTCCTTTAAAATAAAAGAAGGTATCCTTTGAATGGTCACTCTTTAAGGATACACAGCTGGGCTCAGGTCCAGGTCCAGGTGCCGGTGCCGGTGCCGGTGCAGGTCCAGGTCCAGGCCCAGGTTCCCCAGACAGAGCTTTTTTAGAGGGAGGGGCTCCCTGCTCTCTGTCCTCACACTGACTCATAGCAGAGCCTTCACACAAACAGGAGAACCCACACATTCATCACCACAATCTTTACATCACAAAGTTACATTACTTCTCGTTTTTATTGATAACAAAGGGTGAACAATCAGAAGAACCCCAAAGAGAGGTTCTGAAGTTTGCATTATTCAAACCTTTGAGTACAAGAAATGTTACCCTAACCCTAACCCAAACCAGAGCTAAAACATCTGAGAATATTGGACCAAACCAGAGCTGAAAATATTGGACCAAACCAGAGCTGAAACACCTGAGAATATTGGACCAAACCAGAGCTGAAATACCTGAGAATATTGGACCAAACCAGAGCTGAAACACCTGAGAATATTGGACCAAACCAGAGCTGAAACACTTGAGAATACTTGTCCAATCTTACACCAGAATATGAAGAGAAACCAAAGTATTTAAAAGATTTTAAAGATTACTGGTTGCTTTTAAGCTCTAAACAGTGTTCCAGGGACCCATTTAATCTGGGGCACATCACTATCATTGAACTGCTAGCTGTTAGCATGAGACCTTACTATCTGCCACGGGAATTCTCGTATGTTATCGCGATAGCTGCGTATGTTCCCCCCTCTGCTAATGCCAGCTCGGCGTGTGATGTCCTGCACTCTTTAACAAACAGGCTGCAGACACAGCACCGACAGGCCCTCTTCCTTATTACTGGGAACTTTAATCATGCCTCTCCTTCCTCTACCCTGCCCACCTTCACACAATATGTCACCTGCCACACCAGAGACAATAAAATACTGGACCTTTTCTATGCCAACACCAAGGAGGCATACACCTCATCTCCTCTCCCTCCCATTGGAAGATCAGATCACAACCTGGTGTACCTCCTGCCTGTGTACAAACCTCTGGTACACAGACAACCAGCTGTCACCCGCACTGTTAAGAGACGGAAGAGGCTCTTAAGGACTGTTTTGAGACAACTGCGTGGAAAGTGTTCTGTGATGACCATGGGGAGAACATTGACAGTCTCACACACTGCATTACAGACTATATTAATTTCTGTGTGGATCACACCGTACCCACCAGGACTGTAAGTTGTTTTGCCAACAGCAAACTGTGGATTACTCCTGAAATAAAGGTCCTCCTTAAGGACAAAAAGAGGGCTTTTAGGTCAGGAGAGGAGATGAAGACTGCAGAGAGAGCTGAGGAGGAAGATCAGGGAGGGGAAACGCATCTACAGGAGGAAGATGGAGGAACAGCTGCAGCAGAAGAATGTCAGCGGAGTCTGGAAGGGCCTGAAAACCATTTTTCAATTCAATTCAATTCAATTTATTTTGTATAGGGTCAACTCATAACAAGTGTTGTTATGTTACAAAGACCCGGCCTATCCATCATGAGCACTTTAGCAAAGCAGCAAAAGTTACAATGGTATTTCAGGTCACAAGGACTCCAAAACTGAACTGGTTAGGGATCAGGAATGGGTGAATGGCCTGAACACTTTTTTCAACAGATTTGAACAGCCATCCACCCCTCCCCCTACCCATTCCACTCTGCTGCAACGACCACCGTATACCCCCGCTGCTGACTGCACAACCCCCACCTCACCCCCCTGCACATCACTCTCTGCTCCCCCCATCGTCAACCCCATCCCCACCCCCACCCCCACCCCCACACCTTCCAGCACACAGCCCCCCTGCTCCAGCCTGTCACTCACAACAGCCCAGGTGAACAGAGAACTGAGGAAGCTGAAGGTCAGAAAGGCAGCTGGTCTGGACAGCATCAGCTCCAGGCTCCTCAAATCCTGTGCAGACCAGCTCTGTTGGGTTATGGAGCACATGTTCAACTTGAGCCTGAAACTGGGGAGAGTACCAGAGCTCTGGAAGACATCCTGCGGTACCGGTACCTGTACCGGTGCCAAAGCTCTCCCGCCCCAAGGACTTCAACCACTACAGGCCAGTGGCACTGACGTCACACCTGATGAAGACCTTGGAGAGGTTGGTCCTTCACCATCTGCGCCCCCTGGTGAGCTCATCAATGGACCCACTGCAGTTCGCCTATCAGCCAGGCATTGGGGTGGATGATGCTGTCATCTACCTCATGCAGAGATCTCTCTCACACCTGGAGAGGGCTGGGAGCACTGTGAGGATCATGTTCTATGATTTCTCCAGTGCTTTCAACACCATACAGCCCATGCTTCTGAGGGACAAGCTGGAACACACAGGAGTTGACCTGCACCACACATCCTGGCTCCTGGACTATCTGACCAACCGGCCACAGTTTGTGAGGACACGGGACTGTGTGTCTGACCGGGTCATCTGCAGCACAGGGGGCCCACAGGGGACCGTCTTGGCTCCCTTCCTTTTCATCCTGTACACTGCAGGTGTCTCCCATAAGACACCTAACTGTCACCTGCAGAAGTTCTCTGATGACTCTGCCACTGTCGGCCTCATCACTGATGGGGACGAGGGGGAGTACAGAGAACTCAACCTGGACTTTGTGGACTGGTGCCAACGGAACTGCCTCCAGATCAACGCGGGTAAAACCAAAGAGCTGGTGGTGGACTTCCGCAGGCGTAGACCCACTTCTCCCACACCGGTGAACATCCAGGGAAAGGACATTGAGATAGTGGACTCTTATAAGTACCTGGGTGTTCACCTGAACAATAAGCTGGACTGGACTGATAACACACAAGCTCTCTACAAGAAAGGCCAGAGCAGACTTCATCTGCTGAGGAGACCCAGGTCCTTCGGTGTGCAGGGAGCACTCCTGAGGACTTTTTATGACTCTGTGGTGGCATCAGCCATCCTGTACGGAGTGGTCTGCTGGAGCAGCAGCACTACGGCTGCAGACAGGAACAGACTGAACAAACTGGTGAAGAAGGCCAGCTCTGTCCTGGCCAGCTCTGTCCTGGGCTGCCCCCTGGACCCTGTTGAGGTGGTGGGAGACAGAAGGATGATGGCAAAGCTATCATCCCTGATGGAGAACGTTTCCCACCCCCTGCATGGAACTGTAACAGCTCTGGGCAGCTCCTTCAGTGACAGGCTTCGCCACCCGCAGTGTCAGAAGGAGAGATACTGCAGGTCCTTCCTTCCTGCTGCAGTCAGACTGTTTAACCAAGCCTGCTCCCAGTAGATCACAAAACACACACACAACTGGACAATTCACTCTGACATTGTGCAATAATAATGTTATATTAATGTTATATTATGTTTACCAATCCACTTTGTGCAATAACATGTTACACATTATGTGCACTGTGTGCATGTCTGTGTTACACTGAATATTACAGACTACACTTTTGTCAAATAGCTGATCTATTTTTTATTTTTCAAATCTATTTTTTAGTACCTATTTTTTTGTAAATTCTTAATTTTTATTTTTCTTATTTAAATTGTACTGTGTTCACTTTTTGTCTGCAATCTTTGCTCTTTGCTGCTGTAACAATGTAAATTTAATAAATAAAATAATAAGTAAAGTATTATCTTATCTTATCTTCTGCAGCCAGCCTCTAGTGGACACTCGAGGAACTGCAGGACTTTACACTTCAGTTTCAACTTTACTTTTCAACACTGGAGGTTGCTGCTTGGCTTAAGCTAAGAAATGAGGCATGCAGACGATGCTTCCTCAGTATCTAAAGGCTGTGCTGGATGAACTGATAATCAGCAGATCTTTGAACTTTTCTGCTGCTCTAAAAAACTTTCAGATTAGTTTCACAGATTAAATTACTTGAATGTTTCATTTGACTTAGCAACTCTTTTTAAATACTGAACCTTCACCTTTTGTTTGATTGTGAGCTCTCCACTTGTCCTGTCAGCTATCAGATCTACACCAAGAGGCCGCATCATGACAAAGAGTCAATGAGGTCAGCTCTGACTCACTGCTGCAGGATGAACTAATTTACTGGAGACTTGATCCGAATCTTCCCAGGTCCAAACAGAAAGTACAAAAAATGTTGATTTTACTTTGTAAAGCCAATTTTACTCCCCCCAAAAACAAATAAACTTTTATTGGTTATAAATTTGACACAAAAACATAAAATCCTTCATAATGTAATAATGCAAACATACATTCATAGAGTGATCATGTTCAGCTGCCGTACTAAATTTAACTGTGTTTAATAAGAAAACTCCACCTCATTTAGCAAAAGAAGAAAACATCTTAAAGTCGTCACTTTACCTTCATCTGCAGCTTCACATGGAGAGAAACAAAGTGCACCACAAGTTCTGTGAAATTGAAACGAAACTGGGAGCAGGATGTTCCACCCACAGAGGCAGACTGTTAACACCCCTCTTTGTGTACAAACGATGACTAATGAGTCCGGAAATGTTGGTGCCTGCACAAAGCTACACATAGCAGCTCGGTCCTGCTCTCAGACAGAACTCAGGGTAGAAGAAACCCTCTCCTGTCAGACAGAACACAGGATAGAAGAAACCCTCTGCTCTCAGACAGAACACAGGGTAAAAGAAACCCTCTCCTGTCAGACAGAACACAGGGTAGAAGAAACCCTCTTCCGTCAGACAGAACACAGAGTAGAAGAAACCCTCTCCTGTCAGACAGCACACAGGGTAGAAGAAACCCTCTGCTCTCAGACAGAACACAGGCAGGGTTTTTCCTGCATAGAGAATTCTTTGGCGCCCCCCAAAGAGGTTTTACCCAGTGCCAAAGGAAATTCACGAGCGCCAAAAGAAAAAAAAGACGATTCAAATTGCAAATCAAATCCTCTCTGAATCTATGTCTCTGACTTCTAGCAGTCATCTCCCCTCTCATCCGTTTACGCATGTGGTTCTCGCTGGAAAGCCAGCTGATTGACTGTTTGTTTCTTTTGGTTCCGGATACTCCACTGACACCCACAAGCGCTAAATGCAGGTTTCTGTCAAATAAGGTAATACAGACTAACAGACTATACTGTTATATGCGGGTCGAACGTTTAGTACAACGCGTATAGTCACCCCCCAAAGGCCCATTCTGAGCCAGGAAAAACCCTGCATCATTCTCTTCATCCTCTTTAAATCCTTTATCCTTCATTTGTTACTTTAACCATTATGACGCTGCCATAACAGGTCAATTAGAATCAAACCATTTCATTTCAAAGTGAGCATGAGCTGCAGCCTGCTCCTGTGCAAGGACTGATGTTAGCGGATGATAGCAGGGCTAGCGCTGCTCCAACAGCCCCACACACTGTCTCGAGTTCCCTGAAAATAGATCTCCCACCTGTTTTTAAAGGAGATGGGACTGAATCTTTCACAAGTTGGTCCAGACGCTTCGAAGTAGCAGTGCAGGCTATGTCTTCACCCGATACGGATCTGTCTACAGTACTGGCCTCTGTCTGAAAGTTTGGATGTGTACAGTGCGAGATTACTCGTCTTGTGCTAGAAGCCTTCCCAAATTATGACCACAATGCACTGGACGGAAAGAAATTTTGCCGCTTTGTTGCCGGCTTGGACTCAACTTTACAATCAAAAATTCATGAGATGGGTGCAGAGAATTTAGAGGATGCACTGCGTATTGCCAGTCGCTGTGAGAGAGCACGTACAGCACTGCAGCTGACTACTGCGGGATCCCTGCACACATTGCCATCTGAACAGGTAGCTATGATTCGGCCCGAGCCCAGAGATGAAAAACTTCTTCGAGCAATTGAAGAGCTAACTCTTACGGCAGGGGTGCCCAAACAGTCGATCGCGATCGACAGGTAGATCGCTGACTGATTCTCAGTCGATCGAGATGTTTAGTCAATATAAAATACAATTGTAAAATAGAAAAGTGATTTCAATTTCATCTCATTGCAGTGTTTCCCACACACGATACCTGTGTTGGGAGCCCAAGTATACTTCCGACCTGTTTGTATTTAATTTTTCATTTATTCATGAAATTGCTGCGTGCATGAGAGAGCGAGCGAGAGAGCGAGCGGGGGAGTGAGAGAGAGAGAGAGCGTGCGCGCAAGAGAGAGTGCAGGCATGTGCAAGGACGTGCAGGTAAAACCGAGGGGGTAAATGTTTTACCAAAAAGTCATTTTGACTATGCAACGAGTATTAAGCGCATTTGATGTAGCTGCAGCTACTTTTCACTGCTCCTCTCTGCTGTCATGACTGTGAGCATCGCAGGGCACGAGACACACCAACATACAGCGCAAACGCACACACACACTTGCACTGGAGCGCCAGCCACCACGCGAACTTTTTTTACTTTTTACTTTTAGTGCTACAGCACACAGTTGATCCGTGATCCGTACGGACCGAGGCGTGAACACACGTGATCCGGTCAAACGGTCGGTTCGACTTTACTCCGTTCACTCTCACCGTGTCTGCAGCTAATTTAACAAAAGCAACATCATCTCACAGCAGCCTGCTGTAGTCTGTGAACATCTCCACACAGATTAAAGTTGTTTGTTGTAAACTAAGTTAAGGGAAAAACATATGTGATATAAATACAAACGTAATATTAAAATGTAGCCTACCCTAAAATAAGAGTTTAAAAAATTTGCATTATTTTTTACAGAACTCTCATTTATTATATCTGAAATTATTTTCTGTTTGTTGTGTGAGTATTAAATGCATTTGGAGGCTGTCGGTAAAGGTTACGGCTCACTATGTGGACTGGTAGATCTCTGCAGACTGGCAACTTTAAAAGTAGATCTTGGTTTAAAAAAGGTTGGGCACCCCTGTCTTACGGTAACAAACTTAAAGTATGAAGTGCAAGGATTTGCGAGACAAACACAGTCACCTTGTTCGGCATATAGACACCAGACCTGACAGAATCTCCCCTCGTGATGCACATTACAATGCTCGCAGCCCCTCTCCTTCACCCTACTGTACAAGACAACATTCCAGAGACTATCATGCACCTGAGCAGGATTATGGCCGTGATCCACAGTCCCGCTATGAATGTTTGCCTCCTCGCTCTGTCAGTCGGAGAAATCCTGAGTGGGACGATAAAGACAAACATGACTCCTTACCACACCCATCCTACCATTACGACCAGAGGCCCAACCACAACCAGACAGGCAGGAAGACGTCGTCGGTCAGGACGTGGGCCTGCCGACGAGACTCCCGCTGAGAGGCCAAAAACAGGTTTTTTTCTGATTGATTTGCACTCGTTAAATACAAAAACAGCCAATTGCAAATATCAACAATCAATAAATGATTTACCATTAGGCGACGGTTGAATATCATCACTTTCACCCTCATTTCAGGAACATATTCTTGATATGGACGTGTCTCCAATAATTGCAGATCAGGTGGTCCTTGTCCTCCTCCAGTTTCCTTCCTTTTTTTCTGTTCTGCTAGTCTTTTTTTTTGCGTTCACTTTAATATCAAACCATTTTTTCTTAATCTGAGCCACGGTGGGAACCTCAGGAGACACAACATTTACAGCCTCAGTAATTGAAACCCAGGCTTAATTTTTTTTTTATCATGGTGACTCTTGATGATACACTTCGGAAAAGTGTTGTTTTTTTTGCCTCAACCTCCACAACAATCACCGCTATTTCTGCCGCGGTGAAATTCTTTTGTTTTTTTTCCTTTTGGGGCCACCTTTAGCAACTCAATAGTTTTTCTCCAATGCTCTTGTCTTGCACCGAACAGGTTGCGGGCACTCGCCTGTCAATTTAGAGTGATTCTGAGTCACTAATATATGCAAGGTGGTGAGAACAAAATATGCTGGTACGCATGTGTCATGAATCCGATGGTGATATTGTGTACGCACTTATTTTATGTGCAGATTATCCCTCCTGTTGTCCTGGAGTCAATGTGACCCCAAATTCAATCTTTTGCTGTCAAATATGTTTTTTAATCATCAAATGGTCTGAAAATAATGGGCGTAGTTCAGTACTATGCTCTTCATGATTACAGTAAATTTGAGGTAATTTGATTGAATTATGTTTTTTTTTTTTTATTATTGAATTTACTAATGTCTGTTGTCCTGCAGCAGAAAGTGGTGCAATGGACCAAATGATCACACCATACTGCTTTCCAAAACATCTTTGATCTTGGATGTTTGATGTTTGGGGTCAAGCAATCGTTATGACAACAACAACAACAACAAAAAACTCAGTTTCCTGCACTAGTGAGGTCTTTGACTGCATTAGTTTACGAGTAGAGAGTTGAAAGATTTACTAGTAAACTAGTAGACAGCAAAAATTCTTCATGTAAGGTGCAAAATGTCTACAATCTAACTAGTGAGGCTCAGTATGGCCAGTCCTTTAACATTAAATGAATTTCTGATATCAAGAATAAACATTTTTAGTGAGAATTGAGTTGAAAATTACATTGTGGATATGTCAGCTTGGAATTCTAACATGTCAAAAAGCAATTATTGATATCTGCAATTTCTTAATGATTTAATGTTAAAAGGGCTTGCCATAGGCTCGGAAATGTTTACTAGTTAACTAGTAGTAGCTACAATGTCAATTAGTCACACTAGGGGGAGCAGTTTTCACCTTACTAGTTTACTAGTAAAGCCCCGTACAGTTTACAAGCAAAGCCCCATACAGTTTACTCATAAAGGAATAAGTGCCTCGATGTCCACTAGTTAAAATAGTAGGTATCTTTTTGGCCTCTGCAGCAGCCCCTCCTGGGCAATCACCCAAAAAACAGGTGCAAATTCTGCCCTCGCCAGAGTAATCGCAAAACATTGGAAATGTGCCAAAAATGCAGTGCATATACAGATCATGCCATTACTACCTGCCTCGCATGCAGGCATGTAAATGAGGTCTTATTGGCCTTAAATCTCAAATGGAATAAAAAAATGGTGCTAATGTGTTTGAATGAAATTGTTACTAAAGGTGTAACACCGAATTGGGTTTAAAAATCCACTTTATATTCTTTAAAGTACAGTCAAACCGGACGGGGTCAATTTGACCACCGGAGGGCAGCAGGTGTTATTTGCTGCCATTCAAAACATTCAAATGATTCAAACACAGCATCTTTACTAAACTTATACTTAGACATATACCACTCTATGATAAGTCAAAGACTCAAAATGATATAAATTCAAAATGTTTTTTTTTCCACTCAAAACAAAGGGTATACTTTTATGTAAACAAGGTCTATTGGCCCTAAAAACAAATTTAAAAAAAAGGGAAAATGCGTGGTAATGGGTTGGACTGAAGTCAGACTAAAGGTGTAACACAGAATTGATTGAATTAATTTATGTTATATGACTCAAATTACAGTCAAACTGCGCAGGGTCATTTTGACCCCAGAGGACAGCTGGTGTATTGCAATCGGGAGG